AAGTATCTAAATATACCAAAGTCATAATAGATATCATGAAACTGTTTTCGACACTTACCCAACACTGTCGGACTTTGTTTAGGCATTTAGAATTACCCATTGACCTGCTGAATTTCTAAATGGACTTGTCCCAGCTTTCCAGTTGGGATATATCATTTTACTAAGTTTGGGTTATATCAAGGAAATGTTTATTTACTTAGCTCGCACACAGAGCCAAGTCGAGACTGTCATCGCCACTGTCTGACTGGCATGGCTCTATCTAGTGCAAATACTGCATTATACTTCATCCCAGCAGTTCAAGGTTAAAAATGAAAGCTTCAAGTCAAACTAACTTCAAGGTAACCTGGAGCTTTCAATGTCAAACAAAGCTTCAAGGTTAACTGACTTCAAAGATCAAACGAAGTTTCAAGGTTAACCTGGAGCTCAAGGTAAAACTTAAGCTGATGTAGTATATATCTAATTCACTGAGAACAGTAACTTTATGATTCAGATGTCAAGACATTTTTCGTTTGTCATCTCAAAAAAACCAAAAAACATTCTTTTTTTGTATTTCAAGAAAGACAAATTATTTAATTATATTTTTAGAGTTATAACATCAAGAGACCACCTTTAACCCTACTCTTTGTTCAGGTTCCTTATACGATTAGATCTAAAATAATAGAATAAATAAAAAAAAAATCTTTAAAATATTAAATAAAACAAAATGTTTAACAATTTTACATACATCAATGTACGGTGTAAAATCAATTAACAAACTTAAAAATTAAAAAAAATTAAATCAAGTGAATACTAGTATCAAAACTGATTATTGCCAACACTTTCTTAGCAACTTAAAAAAATTATCAAGCTATCATTTAAACAAGAGCTTTTACTAACAGGTAAGGCAGCTTATTTCTAATGCTGAAAGACAATAAAGACATTTTGGTAAACTGCCAACCACACCTTGCCTAGACATTTAACACAGAACGGTAATTTCCTAAATAGACTCAAACTCCTTTAAACAGTCCTTATAATAATGTATGAATAGAAATGATGATAAGAATTGTTGTTAGCCGACATAAACGAGAAAGAATGTCAAACTACAATTAAATGATTTGATAGCCAGACTCTATATGGAAGGCAATTCATGCGCATAATGAGCAGTCATGGTCATGGACTCATCATTATCTAAACAGTATTGGCTTTAATTCAAACACCAATATTTCACTTAATTTGACATCAACATGTAGCTTATTTATAACTAATCTGCCAGTACATCCCTGTTAACGTAACCAGTTACTGGTGCCAATAAGGAAACAAGGTCATGACCTAGTTTTCAAGGTCATGACCCTATGTTTCTAAGGCAAGCACCCTTGAACATCTTGACCACCCCATTAAGATTGATTTTGATATAGTTCTATTTTTCTCCTTCTACAGTCAATCTTTTATTGGTATATTTTATAAAGTTTCAATAAATTAATATTTCAGGAAAAAAAGATTAAAATGTGAATAGTTAAGGAGGTGGAAACTGAAACTCTGCTCCTGTCACCTTAATGTTAAAATAAACATTATCATAGAATTTATAAGAATTAAATTTCTACAAGTAACATACTAAAATACAAAAATACAAAAATTTCAAAAATAGTACAAGGCAACATATTTTTGAAACATCCCTAAAACAATCAATAAAAGTTTCAAAAATTCACATTAATACTAATAAGAAAAAGATCTAAGAAAAAATATAAAATACATATAACACATTGCCCAACAAGTGTTTAAAAATAATCAACCAAATCACAACTATATATAACTGTAACGTCTCTTAACTCAATAAAAATCCAAAATTATATATATACAACAGACCTATCATAACAATTGCCACATATGATTATACTGACTTTTCGACTGAATATCCAAAAGAAAATCTTTTTTTTTAAACTACGCGCCTATTAAAGAAAATCATTTTAGAAATCTACCTTTATTTGAGAAGATTCATTTCCCAGAATCAGGCAAATTCAAAAGAAATCAAGGTAAAGAAAATCTATTAGTAAGAATCACAGAGTTTTTTACATGCATGCTTATCATGTGACATACATTATTATGGAAATGAATAAATCAATAGTGATTATCACTTTGTGTTAACAAGAACAAAGATGAAATCAGAAAACTCTTTGTTTTTGCAATAATAAACATTTAACAATTTTTGACAATCTTTCACAAAGCAAGATCATGTCTTTTGTTTTATCCACATAACAAAATCACTTCTCAGCTATGTTACTTTCAGACAATTCTGTACAAATATAATGAGAAATTATTTAACAGTAATAAAATAAAATATAAAAAGATTTTTCTTCTACATTAATTTGGCTGTTATAACACAGCTATTTAATTTATTTATGATAAACTAAACAAAATGAGGTAAATGTGAACAGTTTATCTAAATTTTGATGAATTAAACAAACCTGATACATCTTCCGATGTAGAAAAATAGCAAAACCAACAAAAATGTATAAAACAGGTCCTACTTGTATGAAGGTTACATGGTCATTTCTGACACAAGTTGTCAATGTTCAGCATTAACACTGATATCTAATATCATCACACTATAAGTTTAAAATTTCAGTATATAATAACAGAGAGTAGCTTTTAAGCTACCTTTCACAGCTATGTTTCATACATTTAATTTACTTTCCTAAGGGTAACCATTCGCTAAGGTCACGTTGGTTGTTCCTTATCTGCCATCTCTACCTCCTGTCTGTTGACCAGACTACCATCACAGTCAACGTGTCCCCAATCAGTACTTTGACTCTTCCATACAATAGGTACAAGAAGGTGCGCCCTTCCTCATATAAAGGCAATGTGCATCATAATCATGCGATGATTCGGCTAATCAGCATACTGGACCTGTCAGAAATCAATCTTTTTCCACTTCAACGTAGGAGTCGGCGTTGATTAGTGCTCTCATCAAACATCTTTGGATCACTTCGTCTGTAACGAGGCCAGCCTCTGAAGCTTGACGCATAGTGTGTCTACGATGTCGATGCAATTCCAGCACGAGAGAACCTCTTCCGCAGTAATTACATTGATATACAGCAGAACGTGGGTTTGTACTTATGAACTCAGGACGCGGATCACGACCATCGACTTCCCGCAAGTTCCGCACATAGCTAACCGACACCGTAATCCCTGTGTCTTGGAGCCTGAGAACTGTCTTTGATTTGTATTTTCAGTTGACAACTTCACGTACTGGGGACATCAATCTTGTTAGTTGAAAGGCCTGAGCCTTAATACTATCACGATGCCTGACATCACATGCGCTTATTAAGGTACAAATCTGAAAACAGTTTAAGCATATTGACACGGGTTGTAGGATGGTGATCAGTATGTTGTTTTCCTCATGTCTGACGGTTTATTTCTTCCTCTTTTGAAATGAACTGGTGCCCGTATTTTTCCATAAAACCCTCCTTACCTCTCCCAGGCGCCTGAGCTGGGAAGAAAGGTCTGGTTAAAGCCTTTCATAAGAAGTTGGCTGTTGAACGAGGTGTAAGCAAGTAAAGGCACTCCAATTGTGAAACAGAAAATCCAGGAAAAGTTGCATACCTGATCGAAAATTATCATAAAGTCGGGCCCGCTCCATGGCAAAGGAGCTGCTTGTGTAAAGAATAGTGATCTGAATATAACAAGTACACATAAAAAAAATCCAATGAATGACAAATAAACATTTTATTAACATTTTAGTTAATATACAAACATAACAAAACTTAAATGATTTCATTTTATATGGAACCAGATAAATTTGCTAGCTATGGTGAATACTGTAAAATCATACCATCAAAGAGAAGAGGTTTCTAAAATAAAACTTGGTAAATTATTTATGGCGTATCACAATATTATGATTAAGGAGATTTCTTTTCACGTCAATTACCTATGGCTGACTCGGTCCTGTTCTTTTTGAACCACCGGGACTGGGGGCGCACTACTATGTTCGAGGTCAATTGTCCCTTACAGAGGCTGTATGATCAACAGAACCATTACCACTTGTACCTGAACTCGGTCCTGACGACTGTCGGGCTTGTGTTACTACTGCCAATACATTGTCCGCACAGGCAATTCACGTAAACCATCACGCCTGTCTTTTGTCCTGGGTGGAGATTTGAGTTTTGTGTTGGTAGTACAAATACTGGAGAAGTTTGTTGCCCCCCTTTTTAAAAAAACCCCTCCCTCCCCCCCCCCCCTGTTTTTTTTAATTAAAGAAACTTCATTTTATAAAAACAAAACACTAGAGGTAATTTTTCTTTTTCTTCAATTAGATAGTCCCTTCTTGTTTTTTAAAAAAATTTACTCAAAACTTGAATCAGAAGTTAGCATTGATATATGTATTCTTTCCAAATCTACTTAATGAAATCAAAATGTCACAATAGTTTTGATTCATTTTTATCTTCAGAAAAGCAGATTAAAATCAAGACACAATGTTGACATACATTTCTCAACAAAACGTAATTAGAAAAATCAACTAGAATAACTGAAGAATACAATAGTTTTTACATCCTACTATTTATGTAAGATGCAAACACATTTGTTGAATCCAACAATACACAGTGGAGTTGTGACCTACGCTGGTTAAGGTTTAATTGATTTAAACTGAGGTTTGACCTACTGGGGGTAATTATCGGTAGTTTTCATCATATAACACCACAACTGGTTAACTTAAGGAGACTGACTTTGCATAGTTTGTTAAAGAAAGCTACAAGCTCAATTTCCCAAAACTGAGTTAAATAAATAAACATGATACTGAAATTAAGAATAGTGTTTTTTTACAAAACTAGATTTAAGGAGCTTGTTTGAGCCGCCAGGAAGTATCAAAGTTTTTCAAATTTCTTTGATCTGCAGAAATTGCCGATTGCAGGATTTTATCTGCCTGATTGCAGTCTACAGTGATGTTGCTTAGAGTAATCAGTAAAGTCAACAATTGCGTACACATTCATCACGCAAGTGGTTGCCTAATGGGATGTCTGTTTATGTTGTTGTCAGGCTCGTGGAATAAATCTCTGAAATGTTTTAACAGTATAATGAACATAATAATGAAATGACAATAAGACTAGGGCTGTCATTGAATATAGCAATATCCATATATCATGATATTCTTCTTCTGATACAATATTGATACACACTTTAAAATATGGATACAAGCTAAAATTTATTTATTTCTGTTAGTGAATATACCACTCTATTTTACCACTCTATTGTCGCTCACCTGTATATAGGCCCCCGAAGCGGGGCCAGTTTAAACCCCAGGGCTTTTATTTGAACAAACTTGGAATTAAGACACCCATTAGAAGATGTTTCATGATGTAAAGTTTTTGCTATACACATATAAGAAAACAATGACCTTCCCCCCCCCCCCCCGGCAGAGTTAATTTTAACCAAAGGGCTTTTTATTTGAACAAACTTGGTAGAAAACCAATAAAAGAAGATGTTTCATGCTAAACATCTAAGCTCTAGCTCAATGGGTTTTTTAAAAGAAGATTTTTTTAAGTTTTTTACTTTACACATATAGTTAAAAACAATGACACCCCTGGGGCGGCCAGTTTTGACCCCAGGGCTTTTTTATTTGAACAAACTTTGTAGACACTTATTAGAAGATGTTTCATGCTTAACACTAACTCTAGCTATTTGGGTTATTTCAAAGAAGATTTTTTAAGTTTTTGCTATACACATATAAGGAAATCAATGACCCCCGTGGACGGGACCAATTTTGACCCCAGGGCTTTAATTTGAACACACTTTGTAGACACTCACTTGAAGATGTTTCATGCTTAATATCTAAACTCTAGCTATTTGGGATTTTTTCAAAGCGGTTTTTTAAGTTTTTGCTATACACATATAAGGAAAATCAATGACCCCCAGGGCGGGGCCAATTTTGACCCCAGGGCCTTTATTTGAACAAACTTGGTAGACATCCATTAGAACATGTTTCATGCTAAATATCTTAGCTCTAGCTCTTTCGGTTCTTTAAAAGAAGTTTTTTTTAAGTTTTTACTATATGCATATAGGGGAAATCAATGACCCCAGGGCTTTTATTTGAACAGACTTGGTAGACACTCACTAGAAGATGTTTCATGCCAAATATCTAAGCTCTAGCTCTTTGGGTTTTTTAGAAGAAGATATTTAAAGTTTTTTCTTTTGGTTGCCATGGCAACCAGAGTTCTGCATGGAATTAAATTCTTTGAACAATTTTCAAAGGTGACCGCCAAAGGAACATTCCTGTGAAGTTTGGACGAAATTGGCTTAGTGGTTTATGAGGAGATGTCATTTAAAGTAAAAGTTTACGGATGCGGACGAAAAGCGATCACAAAAGCTCACCCTGTCACTTTGTGACAGGTGAGCTAAAAACAAATATACACAACACTCAAAACAACAAGATCATAGCATTTGTCATAAGTTGAATTTATATATGTATGTATGTAAATAAGTTACACAAGATATCAGAATTATTCACGAATTGAAGATTTTTAGACTCAAAATTCATCTTATTCTACATAAAAACTATAAAAAAAATTTGGTAAATAAAGGTTTTCCATGAATTTTAAATACAAATGTATTGAACTTTTACCCATGTGTATCATGTTATATGTACTCATACATGATAGTTTACGAACTTGTTGAGAAAAAAACAACGAAAGTCAATGTCATAGAAAATAGATGATTTCATCTGATATGCTTAAAACAAACCCTGCTTATAAACAAAACAAATGGTTTATCATGATTTACCTGAAATAAGGACTAAATGCAGCCAGCACAATCCTATGTGCGTGTATTTTAATATTTCCAGTGTGAAGTATGACATCACAGAACTCCCCTGTCTGATAAAATTCTCTCATTACAGACACCACCTGAAACATGTCACAAAACAAATTGATCATAAATTCATATGCTCTGTATCAAGTTACCTCCATTAAAGTGACACTATGCCCACCTACGTGTAAATGCTCAGTGAATAGGCAAAAATAAAAATAACTTGACATTTTGCCATACTTGTGTTCAATTATGTATTTTTCTATGAAACTAGAACTCCACGAGTCGGATGTGTCGCCCTGTGAACAGTATAGCTGTCACTTAGGCATTTTCCTCTTATATTTAAGTTATTTATAAACACCACTCTTACAATGTACATGTACCTTGAACTTCAGTGCCATTTGAACTGATTGTAACAATGTTAAGTCAGGCTTGATGTAGCTTGAATAGCTTTTATTGTGTAGGAGAATTGGCCCAGACAAAAATAAAGTATTATAATGAACAAAGGGCAATAACTCTAAAAACATGCAGTACAGAGTACGTGTTTTTATGCACTGCACTTCTTCTCAATGAGATCTATCATCCTATGAAGTTTCATCTCCATAGCTTTTAAAGTTTAGGAGAAATGGCCAGACCAGAATGAAATATAAAAAAACAAATGTCAATTACTTAAAAATAAGAAGATCAGAGTACCAGTTTTTGTGCACTGCACTTCTTCTTAATGAGATCTATCATCCTATGAAGTTTCAAGTCCATAGCTTTTATAGTTATAGAGAAATGGCCCTGGACAAAAAATAAATTATGAAAATTTATAAAGGGCAAGTATTAAAAAACTAAGAAGTGGAGAGTACCAGTTCTTGTGCACTGCACTTCTTCTTAATTAGATCTATCATCCTATGAAGTTTCAAGTCCATAGCTTTTATAATTTAGGAGAAATGGCCTGGACAAAAATAAAGTATGAAAATTGACAAAGGGCAATAACTCAAAAAATTAGATGTGCAGAGTAATGGTTTATATGCACTGCACTTCTTATTATTGAAATCTATCATCCTATAAAGTTTCAAGTCCATAGCTTTTAAAGTTTGGAGAAATGGCACAGAGAAAAATAAAGTATGAAAATAAACAAAGGGCAATAACTCCAAAAATAAGAAGTGCTGAGTATCGGTTTTTGTGCACTGCACTTTTTCTTAATAAGATCTATCATCCTATGAAGTTTCAAGTCCATAGCTTTTGTAGTTTAGAAGAAATGGCCCGGACAAAAATAAAGTATAAAAAATAACAAAGAGCAATAACTCAAAAATTAAAAAGCGCAGAGTAAGTTCAGTAACAATTCTTGTCATTCGGGTCATTGAAAGAAGCATGCATACCAAGTTTGGCGTGAATCTGACTTATAGTGACTGAGTTATGCTCCGGATAAGCTTTAGGGGGCGCCAACACCGACAAAGACGCCCGCCGAAAAAAGTAACCCCTATATGTCAAAGGTGACACAAAAAGTGATCAATAATCGGCTTGACCAACAGAAATTTCTATATAATCATTCTGAAAGTATCCGTAAAACTCAATTCTTAAAAAGAGTGGAGCAGTCTTTTATGATTTTGGTAGTTTTCATATCTATCATAAATATTTTTTCATTATCAAATGGTTAATACAGAATTTCTTTCAGTTTGATAGTGTAGGAAGCTTAGCTATAAGCTTATGTTATAGACACACTTTCGAATCCGTTTTTGGAACCAACCAGTACTATTCAATGGGTATAAAGTTTCTTGCCCAAGGAAACAATGACTTGCCCCTGAAGGTTGGTCTATATATGTTAATGAAAATTTTTCTTGTTTTCCGCGGAGTGATTTACAAAAAGAGAACATTGAAGCCATCTGGCTTGAAATCAAGAACAATCAACAAAAAACGTTTATATTAGGATATATTTACAGACCCCCATCATCACCTGCAAACTGGAACTTGGATTTAGAACAAATATTAGATAAGATATATATTGAAAACAAGGAAATTATTTTAACTGGAGATTTCAACTATAATTATGATCCACTAACACTATCTACTAACAACACTTGTTGGAATAATATTACTAACAGTTTCAACTTAAAGCAGGTTGTTGAAGAACCCACCAGAGTAACTAAAACATCAAAGACCATAATAGATCACCTATATACAAATTTCCCTCATAATATTTTCTGAAATTACTATCCCTCAGTTGTCAATAAGTGATCATTTTCCAATTTGTTTCACACGCAAAATTTCTAATACAATTATAAAAAAGTCTTTACATCAGATAATACAGTACCGAAATGTTAAAAAATTTGATGAGAAAGAATTTCTTGAATCTCTGGAACAACAACCTTGGTCATTGATAGAAATATTTGATGATCCAAATGATGCCTTGGATTGTTTCAACTCTTTATTTAGTCAGGTATTAAATGAACATGCCCCTCTAAAACGAAAACGTGTAAAACACACACATCTTCCAGACTGGTACAATCCTGATATTCTTCATGCCTCTAAACAAAGAGATAAAGCTAAAAAAATAAATAATAATGAAGATTATAAGTATTGGAGAAACAAAGTTAAAAACCTGATTTCTAGTTCTAAGAAAAGTTACTACTCAGAAACAATAAATAACAATAAAAACAATGCTAAAGAAATGTGGAAAAATCTCAAACAATTATCAGGGAAATCTTCTAATCACCAGACAAGTTATATTCAAGATGAAGATGGAAATAAAATTACAGACCCACTAAAAACAGCTGAAGTTTTCAATAACTATTTCATTGATATTTTTAAATCTGCTCCAGCAAATTGTTCAAATTTATTACAAGAAGATGAAATAAAACTGCATGAGTTTATTGAAATGCATTCAAAGACTGATTCTCCATTTACAATACCAGAAATTACTGAACAATTCATAATCAAAGAACTTCAATCTCTTGATTTCAAAAAATCAACTGGTCTAGATGGTATAGGACCTAAATTTCTTAAAATGAGTTCTAAAATTATTTCCAAACCCTTAGAAAAGATATTTAATCTCAGTATATCAAATGGCATATTTCCTTCAATATTTAAAAAAGCAAAAGTTACACCTATACATAAGAAGGGCAACAAGAATGAAGTAAGCAATTACAGACCAATTTCAATACTACCAGTCCTGTCAAAAATTCTAGAAAGACATGTTAGTGATCACCTAAAATCATTTCTTGAAGCTAACTCTCTTTTTCAACCAAATCAATCTGGCTTTCGCACAAATTATTCTTGTGAAACGGCTCTAACTTCAATTGTTGACAACTGGATTAAAGCAATAAATGAAGAGAAACTTATAGGGACAATATTTCTTGACCTTACAAAAGCATTTGACTTAATCAATCATGAATTGTTATTAAAAAAACTAAAATTGTATAAAATAGATAAAAATTCAATTTCTTGGTTCAGATCATATTTAAGTAATCGTTCACAACAAGTATGTGTGTCAGGAAAATACTCTAATGCTCAAGATGTTACATCTGGTGTACCTCAAGGCTCAGTTTTAGGCCCTCTTCTTTTCATTATTTACATAAATGACATGCCTTTGCACTTATCACATTCCATTTCAAATATGTTTGCTGATGACACTTCCATTACAGTATTTGGACAAGCTATCAATTCAATCTGTATAAATCTTCAGTCTGACCTTGACTCTATTCAACAATGGTGTACCAGAAATTCAATGATTCCAAATGCCAAAAAAACCAAAGCAATGATTATTTCCCCTTCACATAATATCTACAATATCATCAATAATTCTAGTGATTTCAACATCACTCTGCAAGATGAAAGCATTCAATTCTCAGAAACAGAAAAACTTTTAGGAGTCCATGTTGATCATACACTTAATTGGAAAACACATGTCAAGATGACGCTGAATAAATGCAATTCCTTACTATATCTACTTCTGAGAATTAAACCATTTCTAAATCTTCAAGTTAGGAAAATGTTCTTTAATGCATACATTCTTCCTCATTTAGACTATTGTTGCACTATTTGGGGTAATTGCAGTAAGGAACTCTTAAACGACATGTATAAATTTCAAAAACGTGCAGCAAGAATAATACTTGATAAAGATTTTGATGCGCCTACTGATGAGTTATTTTCTGAATTGAACTGGATGAAATTCTCTGATAGAGTGAATTATAAAAAGGCCATTTTAGTATACAAGTCCCTAAACAATCTTCTCCCTGATTATATGCAAAATCTTTTTACAAATACAGAAAATAAATCATTAAGATCATATGAACAAAAACTTCTTTTAGTCCCCAAACCAAGAATTGAATTCTGCAGAAAATCCCTATCATATTCAGGCTCAAAATTTTGGAACTCCCTCCCTTTAAACATAAGAAATTCTTCCAACTTACAAACATTCAAAACAAATTATCTTAAATGGTGGTTCTCTGGTGGGCACCAAATAATCTAGCTATGTTTTAATATCACATATATACATGTATGTCTCATAAAATGTACAATTTCATACTTTCAAATGTTTGTATTCATTTTCTTATTGCATTTTTCAATTACTCAACTTTTCTTTGTTGTATAACTTGTATACATTTAGTTTTCTTTCTTTGTTTATATAAGTCTTTGTTTGTAACTGTATATATGTACATTTTTGATAGAGGCTCATAGGGAAGACTGGGCTTGCCTAACTATGTTGCCTCTTTAAATAAAGTCTTTATTATTATTATTATTATTATTATTAATCACCATTATTATAGGAATCTCTTGAATATTTTAATAATTTAAACTCAACATGTACAAAACATGGGCATAATGTCACTTTTTTTTCTCTAAATGAAACTGCAGACAACATGGCTAACAGAGAAAGTGGTTAAAATAGATTATTATATTAAAAATTATAGTTTTTTATCAAAAACAAACGCATCTGTAAATGGGAATTAGGTACAAACTATACTGCAAGTATTAAAGGCACATTTTGCCATAAAAATAAATCAATAAATTTTTACTTCTGTAGAAATTGCAAACATGAATTTATAACGTTTAAATAATGGTTTTAGATCATGCTTGATGCTTTGTACCTGTTGTAAAAGCAGCAAAATATAAACAAAAAAGAATTTTGACTTTTATACAAAATACTAAATCACTATATTTGTACTAACTGCAAAATAGCAACAGAAGAAAAGAGAGTTCAGGTAATTGGTCAATCAATGGGTTGCTTTTTGGAAACTATAAAAGTTCACCAAATATAAAATGATTTTGAGATATAAAAATGAAAACATAAAGGGCCTTTAATGATACAAAAATAAAAGAGAGAATGATAATAAATACTTTATTGTTGAGCTGGTCACTGTGGTAACGCAGTGACAGAGGAGCTCCAGTTGCCATAACGCTGTAGTTCTTCCCTCAGACATCAAAATGTTCAGTCTAAAATGATACAAACATATAATATGTACAAAAAAATTCACATTTCAATAATAATTTTATTTAACAATTTAAACACAGATGTTTGTTTGTTTCAGTGTTATGGCGCAACACACAGTATAGGTGGTATTGCGCCAAAACAGAAAAGATGATTTTAGCTAACCTCTGGTGTTACAGACTTCAAAGCAACATCAGGGGTCAAACCACCTCACCTGCTGGAGCTAGGAGATGCAGGGATTTTTTTGGCTTATTTTATAGCTGTTATTGGGTCATATTCCCAATTGAAAATAGTATATTATTTTCCCAATCCACAGGAAAAAATTCCAAATTGAAAGTTACAAAATAAAAATATTGAATAAAAATTCTAAAATCTTTGAAAATAAGGGCTTCTTCACTGTAATAGTGCTTAAATGTTTGAAGATGCCATCCTAGACAGTAATTCTTTACATCCATTTAATCACTGCAAAATTTCAGTCTTTAATGCATTTTTCCCAAGTTTTAACAAAACACCGCTGAAATTCCCAATATCATGGGTATAGGTCATGTTCCCAAAATCCTGGAAGAAATCCCTGAGATGCATCGACTCCAGGTATTTGAACCCATTAAGTCCCTTAATATGATCAATACCTCAGCATTGTATTATGATACACATAAGCACAATGTCCAGAAGTCCCACGGTCACATTTTTAACAGCACATGTGAAAGTGATTAGAAATGAATAGATCTGACATTTAGATGTTGTCAATTTCAAGCATCTGCATAATTTGATCAAAGGATGCTGGTAAATATCAAGCCAGGGCTCTCAGTAGGGTCAGAATTTCACGAGTCCAAGAACTCTTTCGCCAAAATTTTCACAAGTCAAATAATATTTTTTTTTAGTGTGAATCATTTTTATGCTACAAATATTACTGTATTGGAGGTCATTTTGTGTAGATTCTCAAGTCTAAATTGATAATATTTAACATGGAAAAAACGCCTAGTTATAAATGTCTATATATCCCTCACAAAAAAAAAACACACACAAAAAAATGAATTGCATCTTTACTGTGAAAGAATAATTAACTCAACTAAAAAATGACATTATTTGGACCTTTTTCGAGAGTTCTGTTAGCGTTGATGCAGGCTCAATTTTAAGAACTGATTGGTAAAGATACAATGACATAATGTTCAAAGAAACATATGAATCTTATTTAAATGTTACCAGGGATATTTGATAACAATGTTCAGTTTTTGAATCAGCGCCTGATAAATAAAGGAAAATCATATTTTGCAATTAGCTTATAAACTTACAATAGTGGCTAAAAACATTTACCCTTCTCAATATATCCGAGCTAAAAACAAAGTGTCAACAGGTGCTAAGACAATGTATATTGACATACCGGTACCTTTGATCTTTTGTCAGGGCAGCAGTTCTTACGTCACGCTTAAGATGTCTGTATTGATTATTGATATGCACAATGTTTTAGCGCCGACCAGCCAAAGACCAATCAAAGTTTATTTACTCAATTGTCAGACACTCCCTAGCCAATCGTGTTTGATTAGCTCCATCTTTAAGACTTTTTTAATTGGTTGAAGGCGTGTTCGTAATAACTTATGCACACCTCTATAATTAACTCGCACTTTTTCACAAATATATAGTTTTTTTCCTCCGGAAAGTTATTGCATATTTATTTGTTTTGACCGTTAAAAAACAACTACATGCACGTATTGGATTATCTGTGACGATTTGTTTTGTTTATAAAAACTGTGACTCAAAAGTAAGTAATAGTTACAGTACGAAAAACAGGTCTGCATGGTATTTACAGACCTGGACCGAGAGAGCGTAGCGCTCAAGGTTTTAAAAGGGTTACCGAGTGGGGTAACTATCTTACCAACATGCTCATGTTTTTCTATACAAACTTCAGTTTTGAATTCAGTATTTATTAATATTATTCACAAGAAACTTTTTATGTACTTAATCAGGTTTAAGAAAGCATTCTAATGTCATTAATGGCATTTTCTATGAGTGCACCCGTCGGGCCCACAGTTGAATTTGTTTTGCGCCGGCGTCAGGGGGTCAATGGCGCAATGGAGCGCTCTAGATTGAACACTGTTCATGAACATAAGACTCTAACAGTTAAATAATGTAATGTAAGTAGAAGACTCAAAATAAATGCAAGAATCCTTCTGTTAATTAAATCCACATTTCTGCCGCGATGATTGTGTAATTCCTAAACAAAACAAAAAAATTACCCACTCACTAAAAATAGGTTAATAAGACATGGTCTTGCCGCTTCTTAAACAGGTGTTTGAATGATCCACTTTAAATGATTCTGCTCACCTTTAATCTTTATCAGTGCGGCACTTATCAAAGAAAATCAAAGGTTGAGCCGAATTCATACATGTAAATTTACAGGGTCGTTTTGATGACATTAGCGTGTAATACCTACTGGCAATTTATAAAAGAGGTCAATTGACTGACACACACGACACGTGTTAAGTATAACTTTGGGTTATTACGTCACCTTGCTGTCAATTGGCGACTCAACATTTAATCCGCTATAATTTAGGATATGGACAGATAACAATCAATGCCCGGAGGCACGGTTTACATTTTAGATACAGGTGCTGTGTTTGATTTTTTTTATGTTGATTTTTTTTTAAATATCGGGAATTCAAGCTGTAATATCGGGAATCGGGATCAGTGTCGAAATATCGGGATTTTTTAAAATCCCGCCGGGATATCACATGTATGAAATTAGGTGGCGCTATAGCTCAGTTGGTGAGACCACTGGCTGTCACTCCTGAGCTCCCGGGTTCGATCCTGGGTAACACTCAACACTGGGATTTTTCAGAGACATTTTCAATGTTTCCCACCTAACTAGCCTAATTAATTTGGCGTGAACGGTTTGACCCATTTTACAGACTTTTTTTTTCTTACTGTCAAACCGTTACGCCTAATTTTAACTGTCATTTTTACGCACGGAAAATTTACCGGTAACACTATCGATAGTTTGGACTGATTTTTACTGCTTAAACCTGAAAGTAACGTCAATTACCTCTAAAGATCAATAGAATATAAATTTTAGTACTAACTTCTCCTAGAAAAAATAGTAGATTGTACCTGTCTTAACGCATACATGCGATTTATTTCAAATTTGTACTGTCTACTCTATCTTCGGCGGACATGTTATGACGTCATCGTAAAAAATCGATTCCGTGAAAGCTGGTAGTAGCTACCAGTGTGTCTAGCAGGTAAGTGTGGGTTACGCATGAAGATTAAATTAAACGAAAATATCGGGGGAAATAAATCTATTCATTATTTTTTTAATAAATGTGTGAATTATTAAATACTATTGAAAAGTATCATTGTATTTAACCTAAAATGCAATGGTCGCAAATAGGCTCTGTACAAGTACTGTTGTTTAATATTTTTTAAATATTTTAATACATATACTCAACATTTATCAATTGGTGGTTTGCCTTCTTGTTTACTGCTAATGACTGCCAAATGTCACTCTCGGATAAAATACTGACTTCATTTATACATGCATATTTATATGACAATTAAGAACGTAAAAGAAATATTGAAGGAAACTATTTAAAATACACTTCAAATTATTCAGTATTTGTACAAATAATATTTCAAGAGCTCTTTTTCACCGATTGCCGATATATAATACCATATTAAACCTATTGATAAAGTTAAATGTCTTCTTGACATACTTTATTAATTTACTAAAAAGGAACTTTATTGTGATCCAGCCATATGCTGTGTAACTATAAAGGAAACGTCACATATTTTAATTGAAATAAATTTTAATTAGAGGATATTAAAAAAAAAAGTCATTGAGAAGATCAGAATTTTCAAATGAACAGATTAAGAGACTTATAAATGTATAAGGTGTATGTATTGTTGTTTCATACTGTTTTGGTGACACTTTTGTTTGTGTCCCTTGTTGTTTTCTCGTCTATGGTAAGTTTCTTCCTTTGCCCCTAGTTTTTATTTCTTTATTTCGCCCCCTCCCCCGAATTTCCTATCCCTTCTCATGTGCCCGTTAATTTAGTGGTCCTGTTTCATACTGTTTTGGGTGACACTTTTGTTTGTGTCCCTTGTTGTTTTTTCGTCTTTGGTAAGTATCTTCCGTTTGCCCCTAGTTTTATTTCTTTATTTCGCCCCCTCCTCGAATTTCCTACCCCCTTCCCCTGTGTTCGTTAACTTAGTGGTCCTATTAATCATTCATTTATTTATTTTCTTTGATTTCCTTCTCAGTTACATTTTAGTGATAAGCCTGACCGTGCTCTCCCTTGCGCCCTTTCCCGTTTTAATTTAGGATCCTCCTGGGCTCCTTGCCAATGGTTCATGTTCCTGGGTCGTGTGGGGTTTGCGTTCATTAAACGCCGCCTTTCCTTGTTCATCTTGTTTATCATATTGTATACATGTATACCGAACCGTAACAAACAGATAATGATTATCAATACAAGGTTCGGCAAGCAAGCAAAGAAATGTAAAGAAACAGAAAAAAAACTTATCCACATTCATGTATCCACCCTCCAAAAAAACCCACCAAAAACGCCTGAAACTGCAAAAATCGAAACATAAATACACAGGAGTGCCAAAGACGGCTCTGGTAGGTTCAAGTGCGCTCCCTTTCGCCGGTTTAAACAGAATTGATCACTTAAACATAATAATGTTGAAATTTTTAATCAACATCCACAGATGTGTACATAATACGGCGGTAATCATGGAACTTTCAATGTGACACATTCGAGGTGCGTTCAACGGTAACTAGATAACATGGAAATTTTTAATGGGTATCAGAGGTTTTGGTGCCTTTTGCGACATTTCCTTTCCAACTTTCCCCCATCGTTTACTTTGTTATGCTTTTTAAAACATCAAAAAACCCGGTCACAAAATTTTCCGCTTGTTTTTTTTAAATAAATAAACCCCGTAAAAATCGTGCACAATTGAAATTTTAAAAACTGAGAACGCCCTAAAAATTCCCTTTTTAAATGGGTTTAAAATTTTTAGTTTTTTTTTTCAGATTTTTAAAGTTATTTTTGGTTTTTTTAAAATTTTCTTCCCATACAAAACCCCGCCCCTCAATTTTTTTTAAAGATAAAAACTAGAAATTGATAGGGAGTGAAATTAAATTTAAAAATTCTTCTTTGTTTCCCATAAAGTTTTTTAATAATTATAATTCTTTAAAAGATGTACCTAAAATTTAAAATTGTTTTTTCGATGGGGGGAAATCAAGGCGGGGTTAAAAAATAAAAAGGGGTAGTTAGAAATTTCACCTAATGATCACAGATGTTAAAAAATCCAACTTAATAATATCTAATTTTTGACAATTTTAAACGGACTTAAATGCAGTATGATCTGACATCGGACATCATGAACTATTTAATTTCTAAGTAAGGTTATCATTAATTTTTCTTTAACACAATTCTCTTTTTTAATGCTGAAATATTTTTGTGTGTGAATAAAAGAGTTATTCCTGCAATAATTCATATAAATTAACATAAACAAATTGTTATAATAAAGCTTGGCAAATACAATCGATTTGCCGCCGATACTGTGTTACACCGAATGGATTTTACCAGTGTTTACAATTTCACCATGACACGGCTTTCGCTTATGGCCGCCGCTTTTCAATAATTTTCAACGATTAAAAAAATTAAAGTGGAATATTTAGACTTCTGTTCGACGTTTGAAGAAGTATGATAATTTGGAAACCTTGCATAAAAAACGATTCTCTTTCAGGTAATGTAGAGCGTTTCTTTGAAACTTTTCTAGTTTTCGCTCCCAACAACTTCTAATTGGGAAGCGTCCGTGCATAAAATGCAGAGTTCGTGGTTGGACTTGGAAAAAGACAGCGCCCGTCCAAAATTATCTCGGTGTCTCTTTGACAAGTCTAATTAGCGGTGCATAGAAAAACCGGAAAGCACCGGATAGCACCGAAAATACCGGAAAGCACTCAAAATTCTCATAAAAACAGTTATGAAAACGTTAATTAATCGTTTGAAAGTGTTACCAATCGATTTATTAGATCAAAATCTTTCAGACAAGACATTTTTATAAATATATATTGATAATTATTACGACTATTTAGGAAAATAGAGATATCGAGTGCTTTCCGGTCCTGTTAAGATACATGTACATTACCGGATAGCAATATTGTTTATCAAAGTTATACATGAAAACTTTATTTTATTGGTTTGAAAGTGTTACCAATCGATTTATTATATCAAAATCTTTCAGACAACACGTTTTTGTAATTATATAATGATTATTTTTACGATTATTTAGAAAATAAGATATGTCGAGTGCTTTCCGGTCCATCTATTCCGGTCCTGCTAAGATACATGTACTTTACCGAATAGCAATATAGTTTATCAAAGTAATACATGAAAACTTTATTTGATTGGTTTGAAAGTGTTACCAAATCGATTTATTAGATCAAAATCTTTCAGACAACATGTTTTTATAAATATATAATGATAATTATTACGAGTATTTAGGAAAACTGATATATCGAGGTGCTTTCCGGTCCTGCTAAGATACATGTACATTACCGAATAGCAATATTGTTTTATCCAATTAATACATGAAAACTTTTATTTTATTGGTTTGAAAATTGTTTACCCAATCTATTTAGTAGTTGAAGATCATATATTTCATGACGTTTTTATAATATTTTTTGTTTCATTACGCGATTTTCAAAGTTGTTACAAAGTTGTATTGATTGCTTTTCGGTAATGCTAAAGTACAATCTACACTCGCATACTTATTTATAATAAAATCACACTTATCCTTCATATTAATTATCGTGAAAGTGTTATAAACTTGATTTAATTAAGTTGAACTTACTTTCAGTTTCTGGAATAAATTATGAAGTTACACGATTTTTTCAATCTTGGCTCATATCAATGTATCATATTTCTAATATTTTATAGGTTGTGTGAAGGATAGAAAGAGGATGTGTAAAAAGTACCAATAAGTTATTCAAAGCATTGAACCATATTTTTTATTATTATATTTTTAAATAATGTAAAATAAAGAAAAACTTATAAAATTTTTTCGTTCAGTTATGTCTTTTTTTTTTACCATACTATGTGTACCGAAAAGCAATGTGGTCATCAGTGGGAGGACAGTAGTTGTTGTATTGTTTTATCACACGTGCTAATCCATGCTGATTAAAAAGACCTTGTATATTGTAGCTCAAAAAGGTGATGATTTAATCAATTTGTACACAATTATGATAATTGAGAGTACCGACATGCCACATCAGAAGTTGCATTAATTAGACACTGTCCTTTACATGCACATTAAATTAGATAATTAGTAAATGCAATTAACTACACACTCTTTTGATATAAAAAATAATTTTGTTTAATGAAGGTTATTTCGGCACTCATGAAAAGAAATGTTTGTAACGGATATATACGAAATCTTCTTAGAACTTTATATCAAGGTTGAATATTAAAAATTTACTCTTATTTGAATAAAATTCCATTATCGGTGCTGGTGAGTTCAGCACCTCGCACAAACTCATTCCACAATTTCAACTCACCAAATCTGTGTATGTAGACATGACGGAGCGACGAACAAAAGACGCAAACATTTTGTCCGTTTTTTCGAAACGGCCACCCCGTAATCAAAAAGCCCGGTTACATGACATCTACGGACGGACAATCGACCGATAATTGCACCAAGAACCCACAGTAAAAAACCAGTCAACGAAAAAGAAAAAATTAACACCTCGGACTTGTGACAAGTGAAGAAACCCAAGACCGCGGGATAAAATATCAATGGCATAAATATATTATAGAGATGACTCCGCCATAATGTAAGTTCCGAGTGTTTTCTTAAGATGAT